GTTTGATTTCAAAAGAATACGCATTTGTTTGGGGAAAATAGTAAAAACGAAAGATAAGATGTGAAGTGAGAGTTATTTAGATTAAGAGAAAAAATAATTTACAGAAAATTAAATAGTTTGATTGAAATGATGAAATGTTTTTTTAATTTATGTATTTAAAATTTTATTACAATGCTTTTATGTTAAAATGATTTTTTTTAAAATTTATGTTAGTAAAAGTATTTAAATTTAGTCGTATATTTATCTTGAAACAAATTTTATTTTATTTTAAAAATTTTAACTTTGAAAATATGATACTATAACGAAAGTAGCTAAACTTAGATGTATACGGATAAATTAATCTTTTCACTCAATTCCATAAACTTTTAACTCTTTAGTCACACATACATGTATCATTATCTACTGCGGCATCACACATACATGCATCATTATCTACTACGGCAACAACTTTTAGGACCCTTAATATCTCTAGAGTAAGTGAAAACCAGGTGGAGGGTTGGAATTTAGAAATTCAGAAAGTGAAAGACAGTTAGCTGTAAACAACAGAATAGACCAATCGATTTTTGACGATAGTATATAAAGAAAAATTTTAAAATCTGATGCCACTCTCTGCATGCAATTTATCTTTCTAAAATTCTGAAACCTTCTTTGCTCCTCTACTCTCTAACTTCTCTCTAAATTATTCTTTTTTTCTCTACAAATTCTCACGTTCTCCTTCATCCGATCATCAATCAGATTTGTTTGAGATTGCCTGGTGGCAAGAGTTCTCTTTTCAGCGATCGAGTGGTGGTTTGAGCTGGTAGGTCTTTCTTATTCTAGAAAGTCTAGTTTTTGGCACATGCAAGCCAAGTTTCTGTTTGCATGTGTTTATCTTCTTCTTCTTTTTAAATTTTGATCACATTTTCGGTCTTGTGGTTGATTTATTTTCCTCAATCAGTGAATCTTAGGTTTATGAGATTTTTGGTGGTGAGCGAGTTCTTCACAATGAGCGATTCGTTCTGTTATGAGGTAAGGGAAGCTATTTAATTTAATTGTTTGAGTGATGATTATGTGTTTGTGTGAAATTGAATGATTTGATGATTTGGTTATGTTGTATGAAATGTTGTGTTTATGAGTTGGTGATCCTGTATAATTCTGCAGAAGTTCTGCAGAATTATGCAGAAAAGCTGAGTGTTCGATCTTGACCGCTTGGTCATGGTCAATCAATAATTCATCAATAGAGTTAGACTTTTTTAAGTCTTACCCGTGTATGGTCGTTCGGTCATAGGTGAGTGATTGACATCCTAGTGGTTTATGATTCTGTAATAATGAGCAGTCTTATCGGGTTGGGTAGTCTCTTGTTAGTGATCGTTCTTATACTAGTGTTAGACCTCGTACTTGTATTAGGCTTAAATGCATTCGGTTATAATTGGATAGTAGTTCCTATACATAGTTCGGTCATATTGTTGTAACGCTCGGTTTCTTAAAAGTGTTAGCTCTTATAAATAGTATTTAGAATCAATGTTAAGTGTTCGGATCAAACTGTTAAAGGTCGTCTTAGGTTATAGCGCTCTGTTTCGTGTTAGTATTTTAATTAGCTTTAGTATTCGACCATTTCCTCAACCTTACCTAATATGAACCGTTCAGTCCTATTCTCTAGATAGTGAAATACCGTTCGGTCTTACACTAAGAGTTCAGTTTGATTTATAAGTATTCAGTCTATTTTAAGTGTTCGGTTTTCTTCTATGAATGAATATTTGATATTTTCACTATGTGACTCTGATTATGTGAGATAATAGTATGGATCTAATGTGTATGGGGAATTTTATGGATATTCCAATAAGGTATATGTTTCATGTAGTGTGGAAGAGAATTCCAAGGAGGAATGTCTTAGTGTAATGGGTATTGATGTGGTAAAGTTTGAATACGGACAGTGAAATTCACGGAGTTTATCCTGAGATTCTGATGATTACCAATTC